GTAAAAACTAAAAGCTTTCCCACAAATATCAGGAACAAGACAAGGATGTCCACTTTCACCACTTCTGTTCAACATAGTATTGGAAGTCCTAGCCACAGCGGTCAGACAGGAGAAAGAAAAAAAAGGCACTAAACTGGAAAGGAGGAAGTAAAACTATCATTGTTTGCAGATGACATGATAGTGTACAAAAAGCTAAAAATGGAACTGCCTTTTGACCCAGTGATTCCACTGCTGGGATTATACCCTAATAATCCTGAAACACCAATTAAAAAGAACCTATGAACCCCAATGTTCATAGCAGCACAATTTACAATAATCAAGTGCTAGAAGCAACAAAAGTGCCTGTCAATAAATGAGTGGATCAAAAAACTATGGTACATTTACACATGGAATACTATGCAGCAGAAAGATAGAAAGAACTTCTACCCTTTGTGACAGCATGGATGGAACTGGTGAGCATTACGCTAAGTGAAATAAGCCAGGGGGTAAAAGACAAATACCATATGTTCTCACCTATAAGTGGAACCTAATAAACAAAACAAACAAACAAGGAAAATATAACCAGCAACATTGAAAGAAAAAAACAATTTGACAGCAATGAAAGGGGAGGAGGGAGGAGGGTAACAGGGAAAAGAAGGAGAAGGGTCAAGTCAAGGAACATGTATAAAGGACCCATGGACAAAGCCAAAGTGGAGAAGAATTGAGGGTGGGGGGTGGGGGGAGCTGGGGAAAGTAGTGGTGGGAAAATGGAGACAAATGTATTTGAACAATAAAAATTTTTTAAAAAGTAAAGCAGACTTGTTTATGAGATAAGCAAAAAAAAAATCTATGTAATAACAGAACAATAAATAATGACTAGAGTAAAGCACCTGCTGTTATAAAAATATAATTAATGTCAAAACAGAAACAATACCTAATTGTGGAAAGGACTCACAGAAATTTTGGGGGACGACTATATGAGAATAAAGAAAAATTAACATCGAGTAACTCTTCATACACACAGTGTATTAAATTTTAAATAAGCTAGGAATTAATCTTTAAAAATGAAACAGAACAGCGTAGTCATTTAGATAAGTTTCTGATTAAGAATTGATTTAAATTCAAATTTCTAAAATTTGCCTCTAATAATGCAATAAAAAAAAAGAAATAACAGTATAAGTAAAATGAAGGTTCCACATAACTAATATACCTTATTATCCAAAAGATAATTAAGTTGATACAATCATGCAGTATTTATGCTCCAAATCTAGGGGAATTGTTGATAGTGCTCATCTTAGTGATAAACGACTCATCACCAATATTCATAATCAAGCAAAGTAAAACAGCTTTGGGCGCTGTTACACACTTTGGAAACCAACTAATTAAAGTGACTGACACCAACATGGGTTGGGCAGTGAAGAAACAAATATACTTTTGTAGCATTGCAAAATTTTCAGTCTTTCTGGAGTGCAGTCAGTGATTAAGTAATTCCTTTAAAAAGAACAATATTTCCAATATTTAATTTATAAGATTTAACTCAAAGAAATACAGACATGGTGATAAATCATAAGAAATCTTTATTTCAAAGTAATTCCATCAGGATTTCCAAGCACATACAGGGTGCCCACTGCAGAAGTCCCTGGCTCCCCTGCCACTCCTTTTGGTACTTTCAGGCAACTCATTGCCCTGGATGAGCTCTACTGTCACCTTTTCCTTGGCTGTTCTTATGCAGCCTCATGAAACACATAAAATCCCTAGTTTCAAAACTCTGATTGGTGCTCCCCATGGCCTGCCAATCTTACTCAGTTCCTCTCACAGTTTCATTTTAGCAGTCAATACCACATCTTCCCTCTTCAAAGTTTTCACATCTCCAAATCTCCACACACTACTGATGTTCTTTCCTCACTTGAACCATCTCCAAACTGCAAAACTACTTACAGTTGCAGATGCTGTCTTTTGTTCCCTACTGTCACAATGGAAGAAGTTCCTCCCCAACCCCACCTCAGATAACTGGGGCTCAACCTCACTCTGCCATCAGGTGTTAACACACTATATTCACAATATCAGGAATAGCACTCCCCTTGTTTTCCTCTGGCCTTGCTAAGTCTTGCTGGCTGGGTCCTCCTCTACCTCACATCTAAACAATGACCCCTCCAGGACCTTGGTAGTTATTTTCTCCATAGACCCTTTCCTTAGATTATTGCATCAATTCCCTTGGATTTAAATATCATCTTTGTTCTAACAGATCACTTTGTAAGGTTCTGGGAATGCACTCTTTGGAGATCAGGTTTCATGTCCAACTTCATATCTAAGGTCCTACTTTGATGTGTCTCACCTTGGATTCTACTTGTTCTCAATAAGAACTGATGTTTCATTCAAACCTGTTTGTCCTATCCTTATCTTTCCATCATCCATCTCCTTTCACAAACCAGAAACTCATGAAGTCGTCTTTGATTTCTTTCATTCCTTCATTCCATTTCTAATCAGTATATTCTGTCAGTTCAAACTCTAATTATAAATTCTTAGAATATAACAGGAATTTTCCAGACTCTGTATGTATTCCTCTTCTTCCTGGTCCTTTTATCACTGGATTTCTTTTTTTCTAGGTCTCAGCCTTGCTATTACCTCTTTTATGAAATCCTCACTGACCACATGCTGGTTTTCTTCCTAACTCATAAAAAACTTGTAGTTGGTTTGATTTTTTGTTTGTCTCACTTCCTAAACTCCCTGCCAACAGGGATGGCATTGGTCTTATTTATCACTATATTCCTAGCATGTAATGTGTGTAGTTCCTAAGACACTGTAGGAACTTATTTATGTCTTTCTCTTAAATGAACAAATATTGCTATTTATTTATTTATTTATTTTAAGTTTCATGTAATAATTTAAATGTAGACTTGAGGACGAGTGTTACGAATCATCTTTCTACTTCCCACCACACTGAGCACAACATTCTACACAAAGCACAAAACTGAATAAATTATTGAGTTTTCACTCTGTGCTTGCATCATTAGCATGTGGGAGCCCTCACCTTTCCATACACTGCACCTAGAGGGAATGAGGTTGGAAGTGAAAGATTCTGTCTTTTTGGCTTTTTTTTTTTTTCCTCCTTTCATTGCTATTTTAATAGGAAAAAATACAAACCATATTACAAAATATAGTTCATATTGTTCTTGTAATGGAAATTTTAAAAACACTAACTTTGTAACATAAAAGCAAATTCCAAGTAGAGCAAAGACATGAAAACAAGAACGTTCTAGGAAAAAGCTTGGAAGAATGTATTTATAGTCTGGGAAGGGAAAGGATCTTTCCAAAGGGCATAAACCTAAACACGGGGGCAGAGGGGGCGGGGAGCAGTGGAAAGACTGCTAAATCTGAGTATGTAAAAATTAAAAGCTTATAGAGGCAAAAAAAAAAATCACAAATTAAGTCTAAAAGGCAATAACAAACTGGAAACACATATTTGCAATGCCTACTAAAAATAAAGGGGTATTTAATTTACAAAGAATTCATACATATGACTAAGAAAAACAACAATCCAAAAGAAAAATTGGTAGGACAGGTGTAGTCAGTTTAAAGGGTGAAAACTATTTTAAAAATAGCAAATTATATGAAAATATTGTCAAATCTCATTCATAATCAAGGAGGCCACTCATAAACAGTAAGATACAATTTTTATCACACAGAAGATGGTGAAAATCAAAATGCTTGATGATACCTGAGCTGGGGAGGTGGAGGGAAACATGCATTCTAATCACAGCACATGGTAGCTGATGACTGCAAAACATCCTAAAATAGGAAACTGGTTAAATTATGGTATATCCGGGGGATGAAATATAAGATAGCCACTAAAAGGAATGAGGTAGATCTGTATGTATATATTGACAGGAAAAGGTCTCTGGAATATACTAGTAAAAAATACAGTAGGTTAAAAAAAAGGGGGGGGGGACTACTGAACAGTGCATTAATGAGGGGGGAAAGTGTATTAGATTCTATTGCAATTCCTTTCTGTTTTCCAAAGGAATTTAAAATACCCTTATCTCTAGATAGCTGAATGAGGAGTAGGGGAAGAGGGAAGAAGATTTCTACTTTTCATTTTGTACCATTCTGTCTGTCTTACTTCTACCCTTAAAGGTGTAACATTACTTATTTCAACAGGGGTTAACTGGGTTTGTTTTCTTTGTATCCTTCTGTATTAAAAAAAAGCAAACCACACTGTTTTTTACATACACACAAAGATGTTAAATCAAAACATATAAAATTAAAAAAAAAAGCCATAGGCACATACATACACAGAGCTGCTGACTGATGTTAAGCATAAGAGAAAGCCTACCTTTCCCATATCAGACACTTACTACTATCCTTATGTATAATATATTGGGTTGGCCAAAAAAACTTTTTGTTTTTTCTGTATAAAATAACACATTGTTTTTTTCATTTTCACCAATAACTTTATTATTTGGATATTTTGAGTATGTTGGCTATCTTCTTTGTGGCATAACATTGATTGTCCTTAATTAACGTCTCAATTTGATCACTCACCTTGAACTGGTCTATTCTACCGTGGAGCATCATCCAGCAAATAATCTCCAGCATGAAACTTCGCAAACTACTTTTGACACATTTAATCCGTCACAGCACCTTCTCCATATACTGCACAAATCTTTTTGCATTTCAGTTGAATTTTTACCTTTCTTGAAATAATAAAGCATGATAGGCCGAAAATGTTGTGTATTTTCTTCCACCTTCAATATTAAAATGGCTATACAAAAATTCACCAATTTTGCTGGTTTTTTTTAATTGCGCACTATTATGACAGCTGTTATAATACAATCTAACGAAATTGTTTTGAATGAAGTTAAAGACAACTAAGTGCTACTACAGCCATCTTATGGAAAAAAACAAATGAATTTTTTGGTCAACCCAATACATAGTTAATATTATGTACTTTATTAATATTCATCAATCTTTTCTGTAAGCTTCCATTTTATATGATGATTTAAGACTATGGGTACAATATATATCAGTGCATTCAGAAAGAAATTTCAAGTGTCTCATCTGAATAATGTTCTGACCACCCATGATCTTTTCGTCTATGTAGGACCTCACAGTTACGATTCAGAGCCTGGTTTTCGGATCAGGTTCCCAAAATAAGCAGTGATTGTCTTCAATTTATTATTAAGAAAGTTTTGTTCTATTTCCACTTGCCCTCCAGGCCCAGCTAAGGATGCCACCTGGTCAGTATCAGCATTTCTTGGAAGAAAATAAACAATATTATTAGTAATCTTCTGGGAAAGTCTGAAAATTTCAAAGCCATCAGGAGACATCATTGTCCTAATGTCAAAGATCTCTGCAGTGGCGTAGTCTGGCCCTCCCCAAGGGGGGCTGAGGAATACAACATCGGCCTTTAAATGAGAAGCCAGCAGCATGAAATCTCCACAGATGAACTCTATCTTGTCTGCTATCCCATAAACTTCTGCGTTATTGCGAGCAAGATCAATCTTAACAGGATCAATATCGATGGCAATCACTCTCTTTCCAGTTAAGGCAAACTGAATGGTATTTCCTCCAACTCCACAAAACGCATCCACTACAATGTCACACTTGAAGGACTGACTGACCCGGCCAGCAATGTGTTCAGCAATCTTTTCAGGAGTAACTGAAAACCAGCCCTCTGTGTCCAATTTAATCCCATCATCAAAACGTGAGAAGAGTCTGTACCTCTGGGCCCAATATTTTGCCAGCTTAGGAACAGCAGCTATCTCAGGAGGCAGACCAGTTACCTTTTTGTTCTGTTTTTTCTTCTTCTTCTTTTTAATTTCAGCTTCAGTTTCTACCTGAAGAGAGTCTGGTATATCCTGAGCAACACAATCCTCTTTATCTGTAATAGCTACTACTGTGCTGTCCCCTTCATTTTTTTCTGTTTCAAGTTTACCAGCTGAAGATATGGCATGGCACCCCTTGAGTTCTGGATTGCTCAACTCCAGTGGCTTATCCCCTTTGGTAACAGACATTTCTTGTTCTTCTGAATCACTGCTTGTGCCAGTGTCTTGCACATTGTCCTGAGAAATTGTCTCCTGTGATGCCTCCTCATCCATTGGTTCATTAACCCATTTTAGAAATTTTTCTACCTTACTCAAAGCTTTACTTTTCTTGAAACATGTTTTCTCTGTGTCTTCAGTAAAGAAAATGTGTTTGTTTTTCACATTTATTTGTCTTCTCATGTCCAAGAACTTTGACTTATACTTCACATTCTTCTGTAGATATCTGACCCGCCTATGACTGAAATTTGAAATTCCACCGTATTTTTGTCCTGAGCCATGCTTGAATCCTAGAAGGGAACCATTGTCATCGAAGTCTGAATCTGGGTTTTCATCGATGTCCAGTTCATGGCTCCTCTTGAGTTTGCTTGGCTTTTGTTCCGGTGGATCTTCTTCACTCTCATCTCCGTCCGTACTGTTGGGATGTAGTCTTTCTTTGATTATGTTCGCTTGTGAAGACTCCTGTGAATCCTGAGCTGGTTGGTTTGTGCTTCTATTCCCAGACAAGTTGCTTTCCTTGGTTCCTTTCCCATGTGGTTCACTTTGGCCAGAAGCAGGGCATTCTCTTCTGCTGTTAACTTGACTTAGCCACTGATGTCTATCAGATCTTATGGTCAAATCTAATTGGCTCTCTTCTACTTCCCCTGAATTCAGACTTATATTACTAATTCCATCAAGTATTTCATTATGATCTTTATCACTTGATCTAGAGCTTTTGCTATTAATTGATAAAGATGGAAATGAAAGTAAGTCGGCTTTCATGCAATTTTCATCTTTCTCATTGTCAAGTTCTGTTTTAGACCCACACGTATTTGTATCACAGCTTTGTGAGGCATCAAAAGTCCAACCCTGAGCTTCCCAATACTGAAATTGTTCCAAATAATACCAATAAAGTTGATTATAATGTTGTTCCCATTCTGCCTTGGTATCAGTAATGTTCCAAGGTTCAGAACATAGTGCTTGATCTGAATGTTTTTCTTGCCAGCTTTGCCATAATAGTCCTCCACCATATTCATTCCAGTACTTTTCCCATGTCTCTGTAACTTCTAGCTTTGGAGATAATGTATTTTCAACAGAAAGGTTTTCTGTTTCAACGTCTTTTTTGGATTCAAGTTTACATGTTCTGGTATTCTCATACTGTTCAACTGAAGATGGATCATCTGAAGCCAAAATGTCATCTTCTTCATAGTCTTGTCTCCAAGATTCTTTCATAATCTCATCTAAGTATTTCTTCTGATGTTTTTTCTTTTTCTTTTTTATTTTAACTTTATTTCTAGTATTCATAGACACTTCAAAATTCTTATGTGCTGACATTCCACCAAACTGAAGTGGCAGTCCCATACTTCTCATGAGCTCAGCTTCAGAATCAAGTTCACTTTCATCTAGGTCTATGCTTTTGCTATCACATGATTCTTTAGTACTGTGGGAATTACCACCTTCTTCCTCTTCTGTAGTTTGGTCTCCTGCATTGTTGCCATTTGCTTTAACATAGTAGCCTTTTAATCCCAAACTGCATAATTTTCGATCCTCCACAAATGCCCTAGAGCAAAGGCAAAGGATCTTATTATCCTCCTGTAGGTCTTCAATGAAGAGAAACATTTCGGCCACGCGGCTCCACTTCTCGCAGCACATTTTACTCAGAGGAGGAAGCTTGGAGCTAAACGGACTGGGTTACTGGAGACCGAAAGGAGGACTCGCCGGCGTGCCCGAGGTGCGAGGAGTTAGGTATCTGCCCCGGGCAGCTTGGCTTTTTGAATTATTTCTCTACCCCTCAATCTATGTCATAATATGTTCTCAAAAAGTAAAGTATCTAAAAGAAGACTTTGGAAATTCATCCTTCATTTTTTGTATAGAAATGACATCATAGTGAAAATATGTCATTTCCATTCATCGGATTCTAACGACACTGAGGTTATGGGGGAAAGTTGGTAAAAATAATGCTAAGATTGACAAAATAAACATATATGGAGATCCATAAAAATTCTGAAAAATATAGAGGGGCAGGACTAAACAGAAGAATAGAACACAACAGAGAGTAAAAAATATGGAAGTAGAGACTTCAAGATGGCGGAGGAGTGAATGGAAGTCACACTGACCTCCTCCCAAGACCAATCTGGAATTACAAGTAAGTTGTGGAGAAAACACCGGGAAAACAATTGAACAATAGCCAGAGAGGAGCCTTAAAACCTCAGACGGGTAGAGGAAATGGCTTTAGCACAACCTAACTGGTAAGGAGTGCAATAGAGACTTGAGAAGGTGGGCTGGGCACCCATGGCTGGAAGAACCAGAGGGATATTTAAGTGGCCAATTGGATCCCCTGAGAAGAGTGGGGTCTGAACCATAGGCAGGGATCTCCAGTAGAAATCAGCAGAGCTCAAAAATTACACAGATAACAGCCAGTTGCAAAAAGCCGCACAGTTGTTTTCTACCAGAGATGGGTGGCTGGCGATGCAAAGAGCTGTTGAAAGGGCCAACACATAAATTTGTATTGGAAGCCACTTACCCTGGTCTATGGCAAGGGTGGGATGGGCAGAAAGGGCTGGAGATGCCAGAGGAGAGACTAGGGAGGGAGGCTTTGGGGAAAGAACTGAGAGAGTAGCTGGCATGGTCCTGGTGCTGACTCATTCCCCATTCGTCAGCTGCTATCTTGCCCAGGCAGACCACTCTCCTGAGTGGCAGCAGATGAGAGGATGCAATAGTCCCGCCCTCATGAGGCCCTGCCCCAGTGGTGGTGCGCAAGCCATGCTGAGTACAGAATGGCAGTCACAGATATTAGGCCCCTGGCCAAAGGGGGTGCCAAGTGGTCTAGGGATGCTTGAGGAGAGTCTGATGACAGAGGCTTTGGGGAGAGAACTGAGGGAGTAGCAAGCAGGAATGCGGTGCTGACTCCACCCCCTCTAGATTCCTGGAAGTCTCTAAAAGACTGCCTAAGGTCACAGGTTCAACAGCTGACATCATCAGAGGCAGATCCAGAAAGAAAGAAAAAAAACCCAGCAGTCTCCTACCATAGAAGTTCATGCCATCATGCCACAAAATCACGAAGTCAAGACAGATCAATTTAAGAAAGAGAAGCAAAAAGAAGAGTCTCACAAATAATGGGAAGATAAAAAAACACTTCCCCAATTGAAAGGAAAGGAGGAATCCTCAGAGAGTACTAGATGAAATAGAGGCAAGTAAATTATCAGATATGGGATTCAGAACAATGGTTCTAAAGAAGCTCAATGAGTTACACTTCAGGCCTGCTTTGCCTCTGAAGATGCCCTATCCACCATGGGAATCCAATCCATTGCAGTCTCCCTCAAGCATTCTGATGACTCTGGATGTTGAATTACCACCTGTGTGCTATAATGTAGAGAGTTAAGTTTCTTAGGGCTTTATACTTTGTGTGTATGTATTAACAGTTTGTATTAAAGCAAACCTTTAACAGACTCTTAAAAAAGAAAGAAGCTCAATGAGCTCAGTGAGCTCAAAGACAATCACCAAAGACTACAGGGAAACTATGAGGAACTTATAGCAAAATCTATCAGCATGAAAAGGACATAGAAATTATCAATAAGAGGCAAGAGGAAAAGAAGAATATTTCTGAATTGAATTGAACACAGTAGAAGAAATCAAAAGCAGGCTAACTGAAGCAGAGGATCAAATCAGTGAGCTGGAGGACAAGGTAGAAAAAAGCTCCCAGAAAGAGCAAGAAAATGAAAAAAGACTAAAAAAGAATGAAGGGGCGATGAGGGAAATGCAGGACAACCTGAAATGTAATAATATCCATATAATAGGGATACCAGACAGAGGAGAAGAGGAGCAAGGGATAGAGAACCTGTTTGAAAAAGTAATGATGGAAAACTTCCCTAATTGGAGGGTAGAAAAAGTTACACAAGTCCTGGAAGCACAGAGGGTCCCATTCAAGAGGAACCCAATGAAGCCCACTCCAAAGACACATCCTCATTAAAATGGCAAATATCAAAGGCAAAGAGAGAATCCTAAAGGCAGCAAGGGAGAAACAGGTAGTAACATAAAAGGGAGCCCCGATAGGGCTAGCAGCTGACTTTGCAACAGAGATACTACAAGCCAAAAGGGAATGGCAAGAAATATTCCAAGTCATGAAAAGCAAAGTCTTGGAACCAAGACTGCTCTACCCAGCAAAGCTCTCAATTAAAATGCAAGGTGAAATAAGGAGTTCCTTGGGCAAAAGAAAGCTAAAAGAATACACCTCCACCAAATGAGCACTGAAAGATATGCTAAACAGACTGCCTTAGGTGGATGAGGAAAAATAGTGAGAAAGAGAGGAACACAGGTACAGAGGGGGAAAAATGAATAAGTAGCTATCAATAATAACTTGAAATGTAAATGGATTAAATGCCCCAATCAAACGACAAGATAGCTGCATGGATAAGAAAACATGACCCACACATATACTGCTGACAAGAGACACACCTTAGTACAAAGGACCTACGCAGACAGAAAGAAAACCGATGAAAAAAAAAATTCTAAGCAAATGGACAGTAAAACAAAAAGGTGGAGTAGCAAAACTTAGACAAAATATATTTCAAAACAAAGGCCATAAAGAGACCCAGAAGGGCACTATGTAATACTCAAATAAAGAATCAGTCAAGAAGACATAAAGACATATATGCACCCAACACATGAGTACCCAAACATGTAAGGAAAATCTTGGAGGACTTCAGAAAGATATAGAGCGCAGCACACTGATAGGCGATTTTAACACCCCACTATAAAAAATGGATAAATCTTCCAAACAAAACATAAAAAAAGGTACTGTGGAACTGAACAATGCATTAGATCAAATGGACTTAACTGATACACATAGAACCTTTTATACCAAAGAAGCAAAACACCCATTCTTTTCAAATACACATGGAACATTTTCAAGGATAGACCACATGATAGTACAAAAAACAAGCCTCAACAAATTAAGGAAAATCGAAATCATAACAAGCATTTTCTTGGACAACAAAGGCTTGGAACTGGAAACCAATCTCGAGGAAAAAATTCAAAAACTTTCAAACTCATGGAGACTGAATAGCATGTTATTAAACAATGAATGGATCAATAATGAGATAAGAGAAGAAATCAAAAAGTTTCTGAAAAAAAATGAAAATGAACACACAACAGTCCAAAATGTATGGGACAGATCAGAGGCAGTCCTGAGAGGGAAGTTCATAGCAACACAGGCCTACCTAAAAAAGATAGAAACATTTCAAATAAATGACCTAAGCTTCCAGCTTCAAGAACTGGAGAAACAACAACAAATAAATCCGAGCAAGTAGAAGGAAGGAAATAATCAAGATCAGAGCAGAACTGAATGACATAGAGATGAAAAGAACAATTCAAAGGATCAACCAATCCAGGAGCTGGTTTTTTGAAAAGATAAATAAAATTGACAGGGCTTTAAGCAGACTCATCAAGAAAAAAAGGGAGAGGACCCAAATAAATAATATGAGAAATGAAAGAGGAGAAATAACAACTGATACCACAGAAATACAAAGGATTGTCAGAAACTGCTACGAACAATTATATGCCAAGAAAGTTGAAAACCTTGATGAAATGGACACATTTTAGAAGAGTATAATCTTCCAACACTGAATGAAGAAGATGCAGACAGAACAGACTGATAATAGCTCAGGAAATTGAAGCAGTAATCAAAAAACACCCAGCACACAAAAGCCCTGGATTGGATGGTTTCACAGGAGAATTTTACAATACATTTAAGGAAGAGCTAACCTCGTCCTTCTCAGACTATTCCAAAAAATCCAAGATGAGGGAAGACTCCCAACCTTTTTTATGAGGCCAGCATCATCCTAATCCCAAAACCAGATAAAGACACAACTAAAAAATAAAACTACAGGCCTATATTGCTGATGAACATAGATGCTAAAATCCTCAACAACATATTGGAAAACCACATCCAGCAATACATTAAAAAGATCATCCATTATGATCAAGTGGGATTCATCCCAGGGATTCAGGGATGGTTCTATATATGCAAATCAATAAACGTAATACATCACATACACAAAAGGAAAGACAAAAACCACATGGTCATCTCAATAGATGTGGAAAAAGCATTTGATAAAGTACAGCACCCATTTATGATAAAGATACTCAGCAAAACAGGAATAAAGGAGTCATTCCTGCACATAATAAAGGTCATATATCAAAGTCCTACAGCCAACATCACTGTCAATGGGCAAAAACTAAAAGCTTTCCCAGTAAGATCAGGAACAAGGAAAGGATGTCCGCTTTCACCACTTCTGTTCAACATAGTATTGGAAGGCCTAGCCAGAGCAGTCAGACACGAGAAAGAAAAAAAAGGCACTAAACTGGAAAGGAAGAAGTAAAACTACCATTGTTTGCAGATGACATGATATACATAGAAAACCCCATAGACTCCACCAAAAAACTACTTGACCTAATAAGTGAATTTGGCAAAACAGTGGGACAAAAAGTCAATATTCAGAAATCTATGGCATATTTGTACACCAACAATGAAATACCAGAAACAAAAATTAGGAAAAATAACCCAATTTGCTATAGCAACAACAAAAAATAAAGTACCTAAGAATAAACCTAACCAAGGAGGTAAAAGACCTGAACTCAGAAAACTACACAACCTTGAAGAAAGAAAATAAAAAAGACACAAATAAATGGAAGCCTATACCGCATTCATGGATTGGAA